TTTCTTATTGTCCTAGAGTCCTGAAACATTTTTAAGCCTTTTTTCTCTCTGTTGTTCAGATGAGTAAATTCTATTAAGCTGTCCTCAATTCACTGATTCTCCTCTGTCGTTGCCATTCTAATTTTGAGCCCACCCAGCATGTTTTCTATTTTTGTTGCTGTATTTTTCAGTTCTATAATTTCCACTGGTTTTTATATTTCTATAGCTTTACTGAGATTGTGTTTTAAAAATTCAATTAAAAAGAATTTGTAATTGCTTGTTGAAATATTTTCTCATGCCTTCATTAAAATTCTTGACCGATAATTCCAACGTCTGATTCATTTTAGTGTTGGCGTCAATCGATCGTCTTTTCTCATTCAAGTTGTGATTTTCTTGATTCTTATTATAACAGTTGACTTTCTAGTATATTCTGGATAATTCGGGTATTGTGTTAGGAGACTCTTGATTCTATTTAAAGTTTTCACAGTCAGTTTCTCTGTTTAGGTTTAGCATGTAGGTCCCGGTCTACTTTTGTGGGTTTTCGTTTCAGTGACTGTAATTTTCAGAGGTTATGTGCTGCTCTTTTCATCGTGGTTTATTTTATGCCTCATGGCTCCCACTGTCCTTGCTAATGTTGCCTGAGGGTGCAGAGCAGGCTTCTGCCGGTCCAGTATCCATATGTCTCTATATGGAGGGGATTTTTCAGCCCATGTGGATGAAGAGTAATTCCTACCTGGGTGTTTGTTGTGCAAAATTTCTCTTGCTGGTGACTCTAGCAGTACAACTTCTTGGGTGGTGAGTTATGGTGGGTGTGAGAGGGAGAATATCAGGACTTTAAAGGCATGGAAGCTTCTCAGGCTGGGCACTGTATCTTGCCTTTTTAGCTAGAGCTAGTTCTTTGAAAGTAAATGATGCTCTGTGAGAGAAATAGCCCTTCTGGAAGCCCCTTTAATCATTGAGGCACCAGAGACATATCATTCTATTAGTACTTTCATAAATTACATTTTAAGGATCTGAAAGACCGGAAACCATATCTAGAAGTGCCCTTTTTTTGTGTAACTGAACTGAATTTTAACGAATAGGCATGCAAATAGCAGCTTCATCTTTATCTGTATCAACAGTTTCTCTCTTTTCAACTGCCCATTGTGAACTTCTCTGTAGGGTTGTTTTGCCTTCACATTGATTTATATTTAAAATTATTTGTTTCGCTTCTCTCTCTCTCAGCATCAGGCTTCCACAGTGGTTAAGAATGTTTCCTTTGGAGTCAAGCTAATGGGTTTGAGTGGTGACTTCACTGCTTATTAGCTGTTTATTCTTAACAAGTCTGTTAACCTCCCTAAGTCGTAAAACTGAGGATAGTAATAGCTTTCAAAAAGTTGATCAGTAACAAAGTATTCACTGAGTGTTAATTAAATATTCAGACAGTACATGGCCAACAGCACGTCCTCACAGATGGGTTCAGCTAGTTACAGGCATCATCCTCATCAATCATTATCATCTCTTCCAGTTTATACATAAGGAAACCTAGGCTATGAAAGGATAAGGAACTGAACCCGGGTCTGTTTTTTCATTTAATCGTCAGGAGAGTTGAAATTCAAATTCAGGCCTGACTTCTTCCAAATGCTTCTTTTCAAACTATTATGTAACACTGCCTCAAATGATTTTCTTATAAAACTTGAATCTCCATGAGAGCATGGATTAGTCCACGCTTGAGATACGCAAAAAACATAAAATGTGTAATGTACAGTTATATGACCTGGACTTATTCCATTCTGATTACTTATTAATAACAGTGGTAAATCTTTTCATAGAAATATATGTTCATTAACATACACCAAACCCCCATAACGTGAATTTACCTATATGACAAACCTGCACATGTACCCTCCAAATGAAAATAAAAGTTAAATGAAAAAAGAAGGCCGGGCGCTGTGGCTCAAGCCTGTAATCCCAGCACTTTGGGAGGCCGAGGCGGGTGGATCGCGAGGTCAAGAGATCGAGACCATCCTGGTCAACATGGTGAAACCCTGTCTCTACTAAAAATACAAAAAATTAGCTGGGCATGGTGGCACGTGCCTGTAATCCCAGGTACTCAGGAGGCTGAGGCAGGAGAATTGCCTGAACCCAGGAGGGGAGGTTGCAGTGAGCCGAGATTGTGCCATTGCACTTCAGACTGGGTAACAAGAGCGAAACTCCGTCTCAAAAAGAAAAAAGAAAAAAGAAATAATGCAGATAGTTTAACAGAACCTGAACAATCAAGGTTTGTGATACCCATTTGTTATGCTTGCCAGTTTCTGAAATCTGACAAATGTTAGGACAATTTATTTTTCTGATGTCTTCTGTGCGATCTCATTGAAACTTCAATATGATGTAAGATACAGTAAAACCTTATATAGATGTTTCTATTTTAAGCAATTTTCCACAGTTCTTTTACATACAAATATATAGTTCTTATAATAGTTTTGCTTATTGCTAAGTTAATAAATGTAGATCAGGGTGAATTTCTAAATTTATAATTATAATGAGAAAATTTGAGAAGGGTACTTTATATTATTTTCCAATTTAAGTAAAAATGCATGGATGGCAGAGATACAAATGGTGCTGTTGAATCTGCCCGTTCATTAAATAAAAATTCACTGATAGAAAACGTTGAAAAGGAAGTTATTCACTTTATTTGTTAGGGCCTCTCTTCAATGACTTGTTTTTCTATAGTGTAGCCAGTTGGTAACTTTTTATTCTTTCAGGGTCTCTTTACATTGAGATTTCAAAAAACAAACTAAAAGTCACATGTAAATCAAGAACATATTTACTGTTTTATATTTTTTAGACAGGAATTTGTACTATTCAGTTCAGACTTTTTATAAATGTTTAAAATGTATTACATATAGGAAATAATATATTAATGCATGCATGCATACATACATACCCTGATTCCATGTTTAGAATTAAGATGAAGATGATAAAAGCAAAAGAGAATAGGTCTAGTTGTGATGGTAAATGTGGAAGTTGATACCTAAGAAGAAAAGAGAAAGAAAAACAAAACAGGAGCCAATGGAAAAAATGAGAAAGAGCGGAGTCCAAGGGATGAGGAAGAGAGACCAGCAGAAGGGGAGACAAGCACCAAGTGAAGAGAGAAAGATGAAAAAAGTATAACCTGAAAGCAGAAGAGAAAAGAAAGAAGAAAGCAAGATAGAGAAGAAAAAAGAAATAATTGGAAAGAAACGTGAGGAGAGAGAGAGAGAGACTACATAGAAGTTTAAATGTATGAATATCAGATGTCATCATTGCCATTTAAAAATGTGATTAACTCTAGAAAGCTTCTCAAGGTTTTTGCTCTAATGTCAATCTTTAAAAAAATTGTATACTATTTTTTAAACTATATGTATCTTCCATACCATGCCCTTAAGATCCTAATAACAAGAAAATATGTATTATTAACAACACTTCTCCTCCCAAAAGCTTACGAAACATATATAAAAAATCTGTAAATATTTTACAAGACAATTCTTTTATTTTTACTCAAGCCATAGCCTGCAGTACTTTGAAAGCCCGTTTTAGGTGGTGAATTTAGAGTGTCTTCTTCCTCCTATTCTCTGGCCAATATTTATCTGGTTCTCTACCATACCATGATGTTTTAAAACAGGAACCTTATTTTATCTGTCTTTATCACCCAGAATAGAGCATTACTAGTAAATAGAAAATACTCAATAAATATTCTAGTGAATAAATGAGAGTAATATAAATAAAAGGATGAAATACAGAAATTTTACATAAAGTGGGCATTTAATTTCATAAAAATATAACATCAAGCATGATTTCATTTTATTTTCTTGTATACAAGATCTTGGTGAATGGTACAAGGGAGCAAAGTAAAAATATTAACAGACCTAAAAATCCAAATCCCCGTAGTTTATTCCATATTTGTTCAGTACCACCAGTTTTTATCAACTAGCTTAGCTATTTAGCTATAAAAAAGGAAAATACATGTCTTGAGTGCGTTCCATGCGATAGTGGAACATATGAAACGGATGCACAGTCCCAGTTGGTCGACTTTTACCCTGTTCTTTCTAAGTAATTGCAACTAGCTTATTTTCCAGGTGTGCTTAGTCTAACCTTGGTCCAATCCAAATAGCTATACTTGTGGCCACATCCTAATGTCACCTTCCTTTCCTACTGGTGCTCATTGTTCGACCCTCTGAAGGTGTTCATTAGTCTACCAGGCATACACCTGTGTTCACTGTTTTCCATTAAAACCCCCACCCTAAAGTCTCTAGTGAAAGGGCACAGAAAAGAGGAATAGAACTAAATTATTGTACCCTCAGATTCTTTATCTTATGGCCCAAATTCCTTTAGTGTTACAATTAATATTTTTTCATTTATTTTTAGCTATATATGAACATGCTAATTGGTAGTTATTTTATGGTAATGCTAGCTTAATGATATCTGGTTTATCTTTTTAGTTTTAAGAATAAGTGAACTGTCTGCTAATTTAACCAGTGCCATGATTAGTATCTTTTCAAAGTACTATCTATAATGGTTGAAAATGACTTACGTAAGTCCAAACAACTACTTTGATTCATTGTAACCTCCTGGATTTATTTTCTGAAAGGAGTATTATGTAATGACAGTTAAATACAGTTGTTTTGACTGGGTTTATCCTAATTTTATTAGTATTTTGTACATTGAAAGCTTTTGAATTGGCTCATAAACCAGTTTCATGATGTACCTGGGAGTATCATCTTGAATAAAAAATGTTTTCCTGTTTCATTTTTCACTGATCTTACTTTCCGCTTCTTTATTGTCTTTAGAAAGTATCTGAGTGACATTTAAATAATTGTTTCTCTTCAGAACCATGAATTTTAAACTGGCTAAAAATTAGATTTTAATTTGCTTATATGAATGCAGTAACGCAGTATTGCTAATCAAACATTTTTGTTTTTCCTGTTCATCAGATAATATATTAAATTTTGTGAACCCACTATGTGAAGAGTACTGATCAAAATTCCATGTTACTTTCGCAGGTGATGGAAGTCAAAGGACAAATGATCCATGTTCCAGAATCAAATTCCATTTTATTTTTGGGCTCTCCATGTGTGGACAAGTTGGATGAACTCATGGGCCGAGGGCTCCATCTCTCAGACATCCCTATCCATGATGCCACCCGAGATGTCATTTTGGTTGGTGAGCAGGCAAAGGCTCAAGATGGCTTGAAGAAAAGGATGGATAAGTTAAAGGCAACTTTAGAAAGAACTCACCAGGCCCTGGAAGAAGAGAAAAAGAAGACAGTGGATCTTCTGTATTCTATTTTCCCTGGTGATGTGGCCCAGCAACTGTGGCAAGGGCAGCAAGTCCAGGCCAGAAAGTTTGATGATGTCACCATGCTCTTCTCAGACATTGTGGGCTTCACAGCCATATGTGCCCAGTGCACTCCCATGCAGGTCATCAGCATGCTGAATGAGCTGTACACCAGATTTGACCACCAGTGTGGATTTTTGGATATTTATAAGGTAAGGATGCTTAGTTACTTATACATACATGTTTTTAAATTGTAAATTGTCATCTTAATTAAATGGATTTTTTTACTTAAACTTGATACTAAATAATTGACAACTCTTTAATTTAGAAATCTTTATACAGGATACAGCTATTTCTTCTTTATGAGTAAACTTTCAGTATGAGTTGATTTGTAGTGTGGACAAAGATAACTGTGAAGAATCTTGATATTTCTCAGGAAGAATTCTATATAGCTACTCCTCTAAATTTATTTTTATTAAAAAATTAAACTTGTTGAATCCTAGGCAACTTTTCACCACATAATTATTATTGCTTAGAAAATGGGGTTCCAATATAAACTTAGAATTTTATTTTGATAGTTAAAAAGAAATAGCAAGTTATATTAAAATATGCATTGTATTATCAAATATGCTAATCAGTATTTTGCACTGCATCATTAATTGAGATCTCTCAAATTCTAAAAAAAAAAGAAAAAAAACAAAAGAAAAACCTGCATATAAATACTCTAGCTATTGCCTAAATGACTAATGGGTTTTAGAGGAAGTACCTTAATTTTCCAAGCTACATAATGGAAAACCTTTCAAAACGGTTACTAACTACCATTTGTTGGTTTGATTTGGTGAACTCCTTATTAATTTATTATTAAGATCATAGGAATAGGTTGAGTCATCTAGCTCCATATCTACCTAATTGGTAACTCTACAACTTTACCGAGAATGTTATGTAGATTGCACAACGTCAGGGCGCAGGGCTGTTTTACCTGAAGGGCATCAAGTACTTTTAGTATAAATAGTTGTGAACTGCAGGTTTTATTTTTTTTCTTTACTAATACATACTGACCAGCTACTTATTTTTATAATGTGATCTTCACATAAGCAGATTTGGAAAGAACCTGTCTGATTCACTTGGTAAATTTCACATTATCATCCAGAGGGTGTTTTTATGAAGGTGTGTCTTCTTGGGGAAAGGAGTTCTTTAGTTCCATTATGTAGAATATGTAACAAATGTTAACTATTTTACTTGAGTTTCTTCTGAATGGTAAACATTCAGTATGAAGTATATATGAGGGATTTTCCTCGTTATAGAAAATAAAGTTCTTATAAATTATCTTTAATTCTCTTATAATTTATTGGTATATTATTTGCAGTAGAGGTAGCCAAATGTCTGATTCTGAACTGGAGAGATGCTATAATGCTCTACTGTCACTTCCAGAAGACAGGAGATGGGCTGAATTTGCACCACTTTCCTTCCTCCAGACTTGGGGCACTGTTATATCAATCTCTGCAACAACCGATCTTTTCCCTCTAAACTACTGCAGTGAGCCGAGATAGAGCCATTGCACTCCAGCCTGGGCGACAAGAGCGAAGCTCCATCTCAGAAAAAAAAATATATATATATATTTATATATTATATATATAATATAATTATATATAATTTATATTATATATTTTTTATATTATATATATTAATTATATATAATTTATATATAATATATAAAATATATAAATTATATATATAATATAAAAAATATAATATATTATATATAATATATGAATATATATTATAATATGTATTATATATATTATATAATATAGAATATGAAATATATATTATATAATATAAATATATAATATATAAATATGTATGTATGTATGTCTATATGTAATTTACATGCTATATATTTGATTTACATATACTATAGGAATTTACTGAAAGACTATAAAAAGAACATAAATAAAAAGAAAATAATTTATCCAAAACAGTTATATGTCCTAATCTGTAAAAACTACTTGGCACAGCCCCGTCAGATATTGCTGTTTCTCTGGTGGTTATCCCTAGCCTTATTGAGATTCCCACTGACGTTTCTTTTTCCCTATCAATGCTTAAAGCATTGACATAAAAATTTATATCTCCCCGAATAAGAAAAGGCTCTTTATTTATTTTTGTTTTTGTTTTTTGTTTTGAGATGGGGTCTCACTCTGTCACCAGGCTGGAGTACAGGGGCTTGATCTTGGATCACTGCAACCTCCGCCTCCCGGGTTCAAGCAATTTTCCTATCTCAGCCTAAAAATAAATAAATAAATAAACTACTGATTTGCAGTGTTTGCTTCCTCTAGTTAAGCAATCATGTTTTTTTTTCAGTCCTAAGTTCATACAGCTAAATGAAATGATAAATAGATAAATAAGTTCTTCTTTGTAAAAAAAAAAAAAAAAAAAAAAGAGAGTCCTTGATAAACACAATTATAAGTTAGTTTTTTTGTATTTTGTTTGTTTTTGAGACGGAATCTCACTCTGTTGCTCAGACGGGAGTGCAATGGCATGATCTGGGCTCCCTGCAGCATCCACCTCCCAGGTTCAAGTGATTCTTCTGCCTCAGCCTCTTGAGTAATTGGGATTACAGGCATACACCACCATGCTCAGCTAATTTTTGTATTTTTCTAGAGATGGGGTTTCACCATGTTGGTCAGGCAGGTCTTGAACTCCTGATCTTGTGATCCGCCCACCTCAGCCTCCCAAAGTGCTGGGATTACAGGCGTAAACTACCATGCACAGCCATATCAGTTAGATTTTGAGAAAAGAAAAAATGTGATTCTTCTGAGTATACTAAAGCAGGTTTGAAGTTTTAAAATATAATTTGATTTCTTAGACATCAAGCATTCCTTTCCTTGATGTAAGCTAGGATATCTCACAGAAAAAGAAAGACAGTAGAAATGTTCTCTGTGATCTTCAAATGTTATTAAACCATTGACAGTTTCAAATAGTCATGAATAAAAATTAACAAGTTTTAACTTGCAAAATGTTTATATATATGTGTGTGTGTGTGTATAGATATATAATAATAATTCTAGTTCACAACTTACAAGCTAAACTTTCTTAGGAAATTTTGCAATGAATTATAACTAAATAAGATTCCGCGGCTTGGTGTTCTTAACGTACCTTCAATACTAGGGTATAGCCAGGGTTCTCTAGAGGGCCAAGACTAATAGGATGGATGTATGTATGAAGGAGACTTGGTTAAGGATTACCGACTCACATGATCACAGATGAAATCCTACCACAGGCCGTCTGCAAGTTGTAGAGCAAGGAAGTCAGTTTGAGTCCCAAAACCTCAAAACGTAGGGAAGCCACCAGTGCAGCATTCAGTCTATAGCTGAGAACCCTGAGCAAACAACTAGTGTAGGTCCAAGAGCCCAAAAGCTGAAGAACTTGGAGTCCAATGTTTGAGGGAAGGAAGCATCCAGCACAGGAGAAAGATGGAGGCCAGAAGACTCAGCCAGTCTAGTCCTTCCACATTCCTCTGCCTGCTTTTGTCCTAGTCATGCTGGCAGCTGATTAGATGGTGCCCACCAGGATTGAGGGCGGGTCTGCCTCTCCCAGTCCACTGACTCAAATGTTAATCTCCTTTGGCGACACCCTCAGAGACACCCCAGGAACAATATTTTTTATCCTTCAAGACAATGAAGTTGACACTCAATATTAACCATCACAGCTAGTAAGTATATGTATCTATGATAAATGTATGGGGCAGTTTTGTCTGCTTAGGATTAGGGACGTTGAGTTTGGGAAAACCAGACTGGAAATACAATATATGTTAAATCCATAGCAATAATGGTTTGGCCAGAGAAGAAAAGACAGAGAGAGATATTACTCCTGTATAGTATTTTAAAAAGTACATTGGTAGAAATGCTTTAAAAGGGATATAAACTAGAAAACTTCTATTTGACCAGACTGATTTGTAATAATCATAATCATTCTAGTGTATTTCCTAGAAAATATACACAGTGCTACTTTAAACCATGATCTATTTGCTAAATTTTTAATTGCTATTGAAATAAAAATCGCAGAGGCAGTAGAATTCTTTGTAAGAACCACAAATCTTCTGATTTTATGAAGTGAAAAGAGCTTTGCTAGATTTAAGTGTGTGTAGAAGTTGGGTAGTTATGTATAATAACCATATCACAGAGAAAAATAAGCTACAGGCCACCTCTTATGTTAGAAATGTGAAAGGAAGCCAGGTAAAACTAGATGCCAAGAGGAAAGAACTAGACGGAGTGGCCCACGTGGGGCTTCCACAGTGTCTACAACATGAGACACTAGTCTCTGAATTTGTGGTTGCCTCTCTGTCATTCATGTCATTACTCCATGTTTTCCTATCATTAGGTAGGTGATAGAGTAAAGGATTATAATTGTAGTGGTTGAATTCAGGTAAATTAAGCTATAATAAGACCATTCTGCTAAAATAATCAAGCTTTCTATAAAGTAGGGGGCTGGGGAAGAAGCTGTGGATTTTACTCTGCATATATAAGCACTGAGAAAATGAAGGTCTTTACGGTGCTCAACTACCAGATGTTACAGGTGTGTGATTGCTAAGAGCTAGGCAAATTGAAGAAAGCCTGGGTTGTAATTTTGTTTCTCTTGTAATTAGAAAGGCAAATTTTCAGTGAAAGTCAACATAAAACAACATACTTACTACATAACACTTTGCTTCTCAGATTGTTCTCACATCAATGACATAAAGAACCAGCATCTGATTCTGTCAATTGGTCGCATTTACATAATAATAACAAATAATGGCCTTGGCTGTTGAAGTAAATTAATGTCGGTTTTGCCTCATTTTACCTTTGTCTTTGGCAACAGCTTGGATTTTGGATGAGCCAGGGTGAAAGACTTCTCCAGTTTTTCTCATTCCATTCCACCAGGGTTGCAGCATTCCAGTGCTATTTTAAATACAGTCTTTAGCATTCCCATCTTTTCACCTTTAAGCACTTAACTTGACTCTTCTCCAGGTCTGAACCACATTAAATAAAGATATGCAGTGCCTCAGTCTCATAGTTACAGCATAAGCATTTCAGTGAGCTTTCGTATACCCAAAGAGCTTAGAATAGCATCTGGTACGTGGTAACAAATGTAAATATTAGCTGCCGATAGAACTTCTCAGACAGGTGTATCTATCTAGACACACAGGGATCTGTGTTATGTGATTATATGTGTT